CCATGTGGTGCCATATTTTGTTAAATGTTTTGCTTGAAATGTCTGCAACCACAATCCACAATCTGTTTCCAGTTTCAGGCTATACTTTGGATAACGTATTGTGGATTTGTTTTTCCAGTTACAGATTTTCAGTAAAGCTCCTTGGGCTTCCCTTGCCACCAATCAAACAGAAAAGGACAATTGCAACAGTCAAAATGTTGGAGTCAGCCCCAGGAGTTGATCGGGTGCCAGCCCCGCATCCTCCCTTACTGGCCCAACCAGAGGGGCGCCAGAGGGGGCCTTTCAAGTGCAGAAAGCCAGCCCTGCTGCGGCGCCAACGGGGACCTGGCCAGCCGCCCAAAGACGGCAGCAGCCAAGCGGGCGGGGTCAAGCCCGGCTTGCCCTCCTCGGCAGCGACCCAGAAGCAGCGCCCTTGGGGCAGCCCGGCAACGTCTCCCCTCGGAGGCCCCTGTCCTCCCACCCTCGGCGCGTGAGCGCGTGCGTATGTGGGGGGGGGGGGGGTTAAGGGGCGGCCGAGCCAAAGCATCGCCGCGCTCCTGGGCAGCTGTCCTCGCCGAGAGCCCTCGTGGCGCTCACCGCGGAAGGGGCCGGCGCGCCCTGCCTCCCGACTCGGTGGCGAGCAGCCGGTGCCCGGCAGTGACAGAGCGGCGGGGCGGCGGGGACAACGGGGAGGGTGGCCGGAGCAGAGCGGGGAACCGGATCGACGCAGCCGGTCGGGCGGCTACCCGCGGCCACAAAGGCAGGCGCATGCGCGCTTCGCCCGCCACCTTACCCTCGGCGTTAAGCGCGCCGGACAGGCGCGGCCGGGCTGGGCCCGCTGCTACTTGGCGGCAGTCGGTGGCTGCTCAGCCGAGGGAGGGCATTTCGCCCGAATGAGGCCGGGGCTGCCCACGGGAGTCTCCCAGCTCGGCCGGAGAAGCCCCTGAATATCGAGCCCTCTCGGCCTGCGGGACCGCCTGTCCCGGCACCCAACCTCGCCCGGCTGGGAAAAGCCGAAGAGCGCAGCGCAAACGCGGGGAAAGGTCGCGCGAAGTCTCCGGCCAGCGCCGCCATCCCCGCCCGAGCAACGGAGAGCAGCGCCCGACCGGCTCGGACCCTCCTCCGCCGAAGGGACCCCGTCGGGGAAGGCGCCTCGCCGACGCCCATCGAGCGCGGCTTCCCAGACCCGCCAGGCGCCCGTCGGTTGTCCCGCGGGGAGGCCTGGCCGTGAGAAGCGAGGCGAGGCTCTCCGGTCTCGAGCCGAGCGAGGCCGGCAGGTGTAGCGGCCCTTCTCCCTCCCGTCCCTTCGCAACCCCAGCTGGGCCCGACTTACCGGCGGCGCTGGAGTCGGCGGCGGCCGAGCGCGGCAGGACCAGGCGGGAACGGGGCGCGCCGAGCAGCGGGCAAAACGCGCGCCCGGCCGAGCCGCTCCCTCTGCCCGCCCCCTGCGGCTCCGCGGCTGGGCGGGCGGGCCGAGGGGCGACGAGCCGCGCGGTGACGAAGCAGCTCTGGGCGCGCCGGGGGAGGGGAGGGGAGGGGAGGGCCGGGCAGCGGGCTCGCCCGGCGATTCTGCGTCGGCTGCGCCAAGGACCAGCGCAGCCCCTTTCCGCCCGCCCCGAGCCCGGCTTCCCCGGCCGCAGCCCCGCATAAGCGCCTCACCCCGCCGCCGCCCTCCCCGGCGAAGGGCGGCTCCGAGGCCCGTTTCCTCCCGCGGAAGGCCGACGGCTTTCCCGAGCGCCTCCCTAGCGGGGCCCGTTTGCCCCGCACCCGGGAGCTCTCGGGAAGCGGCCCCGGGCGAGCGCCGGAACACGCCGTCCGTCCGGAGGGGATCTGCCCCTCGCTCCAAGTGGCGCCGGTGCCCGCCGCCTCCGGGCCCTACCTTCACAGGAGCCGCGGGGCTCGGGCGGGAGGGACGCTCCGTCCTGGGGGCGCCATCCTCCCCGCGGCCAGCATCTCTCCGCCGCCGCCGCCGCGCCCGTCACCTACGCGACTGAGCCGCCGCCGCCGCCGCCTCCCCGGCAACCTGTGCCGGAGCCCCCCCCGCCTCCGCCGCCTGTCATTGGCCGCGGGCTCCGCAACGGGCGGCCCTTGGCTGGGAGGGCGGGGGCGGTTCAGGGGCCCAGTCGACGCGCGCCTCGACCCTCCCCGCCCCCCCCCACCAGGCGCCGCCCCAGAAAGGCGCCGCGCCCAGCAGCGCGCCCGCCTCGCCCCACCTGCAGCGGCGCGGCGGCGGCTGATGGGGCGGGCGGGCAGCCGCCGGTCTGCAGAGAGAGGCTTCCCCCGCAGCCGGCGGGCCGAGCGGGGGTCTTCGGGCGGCCCGGGAGCCTCGCGAGGGGCGGTGAGGTCTGNCATCTCTCCGCCGCCGCCGCCGCGCCCGTCACCTACGCGACTGAGCCGCCGCCGCCGCCGCCTCCCCGGCAACCTGTGCCGGAGCCCCCCCCGCCTCCGCCGCCTGTCATTGGCCGCGGGCTCCGCAACGGGCGGCCCTTGGCTGGGAGGGCGGGGGCGGTTCAGGGGCCCAGTCGACGCGCGCCTCGACCCTCCCCGCGCCCCCCCCACCAGGCGCCGCCCCAGAAAGGCGCCGCGCCCAGCAGCGCGCCCGCCTCGCCCCACCTGCAGCGGCGCGGCGGCGGCTGATGGGGCGGGCGGGCAGCCGCCGGTCTGCAGAGAGAGGCTTCCCCCGCAGCCGGCGGGCCGAGCGGGGGTCTTCGGGCGGCCCGGGAGCCTCGCGAGGGGCGGTGAGGTCTGGGCGGCGGCCGCCTTTCGGGGAGGGGGAGGGGCGGAGGCGAGAGCGCGCGAGGGGCCGGGAGGTCGGGCCTGCCGCAAGTCGGGCGCGGATTGCCGGTTTCCTTCCGCGCCCGCCAGAGCCGCCGCGCTTCTGGGGTGCTCTGCGGTCCACGCGGGGACTGAATGGCCGAGAGCGGCGGCATCGCCGAGGCCGCGTGTCCTCCCCGCTCTCTTGGGCCCCTTGGGCGGCGAAGCTCCCAGGCGCGGGCGCCCCAACTCCCCCGGGTTAGCCCCGCGAAGCGCCCTCCTGCCCTCGGAACGGAACGCTCTACGGGCTGCCTAGTCCAACGAAGAGAAAGACCGGGGAACGTGCTAGACGTCTCCCAATATTTGAGGGGCTGCCGCAAAGAAGAGGGATTCAGCCGAAGCCCCAGAAGGCCGGACAAGAAGCAACGGACGGAAACTAATCAAGGAGAAGAGCAGCCTGGAACTAAGGAGAAACTTCCTGACAGTGAGAGGCAATTAACCGGTGGAAGAGCTTTTCTCCAGAAACCGTGGATGCTCCAACACTGGAGGCTTTTAAGAGGAGACCAGAGGGGGTTTCCTACTTGTGCAGGGGCTTGGACTAGAAAACCCCAAGGTCCCATCCAACTCCATTATTCTGTTATAAAATAAATAAAACAAACTACCCTGATATCGACTGTGAGACAAACTTTGCAGCTAGCAGATCATCAAGGTGAGCCTAGTTGACAGCTTTGTGATCCAAACGTTAAAGGAGGGAACTAGAGGGTCAGGTATACTTGACCTAATTCTTACTAGCAGAGAAACTTTGTGGGAGAGTGACCATGTCATATTCAATATAATGAAGTCACGACCAATAGAACCAAATCAAAATAGCATCTTAGACTTTAAGAGAGCTAATTTCAACACATTTCTCCCTGTCCGTCACCTTCTTGCCATCTTCCATTAGCAGATTGATCGTTTCCTTGACTTTTTTCTTATTTTTTAATGTTGAAATTTTTAAAAAAATATTTTTGAAATTTGTTGCAAGTCTTAGCTCAGTGATGGCGAACCTTTTAGAGACCCAGTGCCCAAACTGCAAACCAAAACCCACTTATTTATCATTGGGTGCCGGGTGGGCGTGGCTGCAGTGGTCATGGCAGACTGGGTGGGCAAGGCCAGAGCGGCAGGGGCCAGTCCCTCGCCATCTCCGGGGCACAAGCGTGCCCACAGAGAGGGCTCTGAGTGCCGCCTCTGGCACGCATGCCATAGGTTCGCCATCATTGTCTTAGCTCATTCTTAGTCTTAGTTTTCCTGATCATCTTTGCAGGCTATATGCTGGTATTCTGTCTCTTTCCATTTTTTATATTTGCCCTTTTTCATCTTTCAGTTTATCAGAGATATTTATGCAATCATACTGGTTTCTTCTAGGATTTCTTGTTTTTCTTTTTAAGTGCTGGACTGGGCTTTTATGATCATATTTTTCAGAGTTTCCCAAGCTTCTTGAGTTAGTATTGACTTACTGTTATATTAAAACAGAAGTTAACTATTAGTTGAGAATTCTACAGAGGAAATATTGGGTATCAGAAGATGTATTTGTTTGATGACTTTTTAATGGTTAAAGTTAGGTTGCTTTGTATTGCTTTGGCCATCTTTGTTATAGAATTTAATGGTCAGGAATAGTAAGTAAACAACAAACAAATTGTATTTACAAAGAGTCTTGTCCTTCATCTTACCTTAACCCAAACCCTAAAGTGTGCTCCCCCCCCAGAAGAAGATGAAGACCCCTTGCTGTAAGGGGTGGTGGGAGAACCTTGTTTTCTTGCAGACCTAGAAGTCCTGGGTAATTATATTTAAGCAAATTAGGTCAGAAATTGAGGCTGCTATGGAAACCTTGCAAAGATCCCTTTAATTCAGTGGTGGGATTCAGCCAGTTTGCACCAGTTTGGCAGAATTGGTAGCTACTTTTTTGTTGCCCAGGCCAGAATGGACTTCCGGAAGTGGCATCCACACAGAGAACACAGCCGAGAACCGGCGCCGGCCGAGCGGAGCAAGAAACGCCGCTTCTGCCCCGCAGCCCGGATTCCGGCTCCGAGGCCTCGTTTCCTTCGAGCCCCGCCCGGGCGCCTCTCGCCGGGAGAGGCGAGGCGGCGAGCTTTGCCCCGGAGGAGGGCCTCACGCCTTCGCTCCCGGCGCAGCCTCCGCGGGGCGGCCCCGGCGCTCCCCTTCCGCCTTCGGGCCCGCCCGGCGCCGCCTCCTCCTCCTCCTCCCCCTCCCTCAAGCGCGGCTCCGGCATGGCGGCGGCGGCGGCGGGTCCGGGCGCGCTGGTGAGCGAGGGCCGCTGGGCTGGGGCGGGGGCGCCTCCGACCGACGGCCCCCTCACCGCCTCCTCCTCCTCTCCTCCCCCCGCAGGGCGCCCGGGAAGCGGCCGAGGCGGCCCACGTGCTCTCACTGCCGGCCGAGGCCTTCGGGAACGACGTGAGTGCGGGGCGCGGGGCCGGCGGGCGGCGGGGCGCGGGGACTCGGCGCGCTCACGGCTCTCCCTCCCTCCCTCTCTCCGGCAGCCGCGGCTGGAGGCGGCCTGGGCCGAGCGCGCCCTCCAGCACGCCCACGTCTACTTCCACGTGAGTCCCGGGCGGGGGGCCGGGGGGGCGGCGGGCGGGCGGGCGGGGGGTCTCGGCGCCGCTGACCCGCCCGGCTCTCCCGCAGCTGCTCTCGGCCGCTGACCCCGCGGGGCTGAGGCTCACCCGGGCCGACGACCGGATCTACGCGGCCTTCCGGCGGAGCTTCCCCGACCTGCGCGTCGACTTGCTGGACGTGGAGTCGCTCAAGTCGGAGCCGGCCAAAGAGGTGGGGGCGGGGTCCGGGGGGCGGGGCGGGGTCCGGGGGGGGGCTCGGGCTCACGGCTCCCTCTCCCCCCCCGCAGAAGTGGCGCCCCTTCTGCCTGCAGTTCGAGGGGGCGGTGGAGGACTTCAACCTCGGGACTCTCCTGCGCCTCGACTGCCGCCGCGGCTACTCGGAGGAGAACTCCGTGCTGGGTGAGCGCCGGGCGGGGCGGCGGGCGGCGGGCTGGGACGGCCCCGTGAAGGCCCCTCCTCGCCTGCCTCTCCTCTCCGCAGCGCCGCGCATCCAGTTCTTGGCCATCGAGATCGCGCGCAACCGCGAGGGCTGCAACGGCGCCGTCTACCGCCGCGCGGGCGCTCCAGAAGCCGGGCTCGACCCGGCCGGCGCCCGCTGAGAGCCTGGCCGGACCGGACGCGAGTCGTGCAAGCGAGGCGGGGGGGGGGGAAGAGAGGCTGGGGGCTCCTCGGAGGGCGAGGGATGGGCCGCTTTGGGGAGCTGCCCCTGCGCCGCCTTCCTCCCCCAAGGGCGCCGGGAGGGCCGCCCGTCTTCTGGCCCCCCGACCGACGTTTGCCCTCCGCTTTGTATGCGGGACTTCAGCAGAAGGTCCGTCTCCGTCTTGCCTTGTAAACAGTGAGTCCCGAGATTGACGTTGTGTGGCTTGTTTTTTCCCTAAAGATGGGCCCTCACTTGTCAGGCGGGGAGGCCCCCTCGGGTCCCCTGCCCTTTGCACCCCCGAAGAGTAACGCCGGAATCCGGCCTCAGTGCACGCAGTTCAGTAGAAACCACTTTATTTGCAGCCACAATGCTTACACTGTATGCAGCAAACATCCGTACAAATCATTCAGCAACCTGGTCACAGAAAAAGGACCCAGCACACAATCGCCAGAGGAAATAATTCTCCCCCCATCAAGGAGGTGCTATTTGGGGGGAGAAACCAGGGTTACAATTAGATCTGGGCTCCTGGGACAGAAAACTAGCAGCAAGAAGGCTGGGCGGGGCAGGGCCGGGCCGAGGGAAATGGGTCCCTGTTGCTTTCACTAAATTTAACATTTAACAAATGTTCCCACAGCTTTAGTGGGAAAAGAGATTTGTCTGAAGGATCTACGGTGCACTTTCTTGGTGGTGGGATGGCCTTGTGGGGGAGAAGCTGCCGTTTCAAGAGCTCAATATGAGGAGTTGTTCGCAGCTGCTGCCAGATAGCCAAGTCCTCCCATCTTCCAAAATTGTGTGTGTGTATGGGCTGTGTGTGTGTGTGTGCGCATGGCAGGAATGTGGCATGGCTTTGAGCTCCTAATGGGGGAAGGTGGGGAGGGATGGTCTAAGTTGAAGGGATAGATAAGAAAAATATACATTTGGAATTTTACACTTGTGCCTCTACACTAGTTACTAAATATAATTCTGTACTCTCACACCCCCTTGCCCAGTAATGTGGCAGGTAGCCAGGAGACTCTTCACTTGCATACCACCCTCGCTCTAGCATTGGTGCACTATGTAAAAATTTCAGTCACACTTTTTTTTTAAACTTGAGTCAATATAAACCTTGTTCAAAATGTTATGAAAAAATGTACATGTTTATACAAGGCAGGCCGTGGCAGGACACAGGGTTCCTCTGACATTCACGCAGGGAGGTGCCAACGGCGCCTCCCCAAGGGAAAAAACCTCTCTCTGAGTGAACCTTTTACGCCCCCCTCCTGCAGCCTAGCCCCAAGGAGGACCAGCAGGGATCGGAAACACCCTCGTGTCTTTCCATCGGAAAAGTTAACCTCCCCAGCCCCGAGAGCAGCTCCTGGCGAGACGTCAGCTCATCATGTCGTTGCTGTTTACCCCGTAGGTGGAATTTTTCATGGAATCGTTTACTTCTCGACGAAACGCAGAAAGATTCTGTGTAAACCTGTCAAAGAAACAGACGTTAGGATGGGGGCAAACAGACCTGCCTTTTTGCCCAGCGGCTGGATGGCATCAGACAAGAGTTGGGCTCATTCTCAGGGAATCATGAGAATCAGCCAAATCCAACTTCTGGCCAAAGCTCAGTTTTCTAATGCCCTGAATTTCAGCTCTGAAAACATGGCCGCAAGTGAGGGGCAAACCTGATATTCCTTCAGCTCCTCCCAATTTTTCCTTCCGTTTTCTTCACTGGACACTGGAGATTTGGATTTGAACACAAGCAAAGTGTAGCTACTTTATAACTTTGGAAGGAGCCAAGCAGGGTCCTTCACCACAGGGATGATCAAATGCTTCTGAAAGGATAACTGTCCTACAGAATTCAATTCAATTCCCTCTGAGAGGGAAAAGTAACGCGGGAGGGCTGCACCGGGCTGGGTTAACTACTCATAGGGGTGGGCGATCCTTTGAGCCGGGAGCCAGAGAACTTTGGGTGGTGGTGTTTTGTCTTTTTTGTGAAGTTACTGACCTATCGCGATTTTTTGTCAGCAGGTTGCGCTCAATGCCTTCCATGAGATTTTCAAAGCAGAGATGCATAGCTTGTTGTTTCTCAGGGGGCTGGCTGTTTACTATGCTGTTCCTTAAATCTGAAAAATACTGCAAAGGAGAAGTTCACACTGTGAGCTATCCAGGATAATGTGCCAGCACACAATAACACACTACCCTAAATCAGCGGCCTTACCTTTTCATTGAGTAGGATCAAGCCAAGCAAAGGCCGTGACATAGACCACTGGTTCCTGCAGTCTTCAAATATGATGATATTCAACACTGTGGAGAGCATCTGGAAGGATCAAGCACAATCCAGTCAACTGTACAGGTCTACTGAGCTCACACTGGGGTACTGCCGGGGATTATGGGGAAACTGGGAAGGAAAGGTAGACATAGTGGGCAATTCACAGGACAGCTTATCTAATAAACAGCAATTTGGTCAGATGTTTGGGGGGAAGCAATTCAAAGTATTCCAAGAAGCATGTAGTCACTACAAATGAGTGTGAGAAATTGGGAGTGGGAACTGAGAACGTCTAGTGTAACAAAGAAAAGAACTAGGGGGGACATGATAGCAATCTTGCAATATCTGAGTGGCTATCACCAAGAAGACAGGGTCAACATATTTTCTAAAGCACCTGAGGGTAGGATGAGAAATAACAGGTGGAAAGATCCAACCTAGAATTAAGGAGAAGATTCCTGACAGACAAAACAAACGGTGGAACGGCTTCCCTCCAGAAGTTGTGGGTGCTCCATCACTGGGGGTTTTCAAGAAGAGACTGGACAGCCATTTGTCTGAAATGGTATTGGGTCTCCTCTCTGAGCAGGAGGTTGGGGTAGAAGACCTTCAAACTCGCTTCCAACTCTGTATTCTGTACATTCCTACTACACTTTTCAGAATTCTGTATTTTCTGCAGACCAGCATTTACAGAGGTTTTCCTGGAATCCATTTAAGCATTTGTTTCCTTGGTCTCTCCCAGCTGCATGGGTCCTGACAGGAATGCTTTATATCTGTTTAAAACCTTGTTCTTCAAAACTAAGCTTTTCCTAATCAGTAGAAATCCCTACTGAACCCCATGCCATCTCCTATCAGCAGGTTGTTGGGATGCACAATGGAAATGTTGCTGAAGCAGAACAGACCCCTTTTGCCTCTTTGGCAAAGGAAGGATGGGTCGATTTAAAGAGATTGACATTTCCCTACTTTCTTTCCATCCTGAAACACTTTATGGCAAAATCAAGATCTGTTGTATTGTGGGGTAAAGCAAAATGAACATCCTGTAAATCAATCATGCTGATTTTCTGTATCCTCTTTCTTTTATGGTGAAGGAGCTTGTGCATCCCAGTAATGCTGTCAGTTCTGCCACTGGGAGTGCAGCCCCCGAAAGGCTGACAGACAAGGGAAGAGATGGGTGTCCCAGCACCCTGAAGTGGGGGATGCATCATGCCCAGGGAGTACCAGATTCCACCAAAACAAACAAAACGAAATGCAAAATATCAAAGCCTCAGAGAAAAAGTTACCTAACTACCAAAGGCCACAGAAGGTATGAGATACTGTATATCTGAACAAGGACAAAAATCAAACAGGATTTTAGAAAAGTAGAAAAATGAAGGGAATCTCTTAGACAGGAACAATAAGGCAAACGCAAAGGTTGGCCGGAGAAGCATATAAAGAAGAAAAGGTGATGAACATATAGAACAACTAGAAAGACTTCCTATCTCTGCTTGGTACTCAAGTACCATCGCTGAGCGAAAGCCAGAGGGTTTGGGAAATGAAGTTAACAAGCTCTGGAAAATAGGGCTAAGGAAGCTGCAGGAACTGTTCCACAACACCGAAAGTCGATGCCCACAGTTGACAATCCATGGGGAAAGCGAAGGGATGCTCAGTCTACCGAGCAGCTGCATTCCTCATGCTTCCACAAGACAGTGGTCCCGATGTTCACAATCCAGGTTTCCAGAATACCTGGAGCTGGTTCCCAAAGAGAAAGAAGCATGGAGATCACGTTCTCCACAAGTCCAACAGATAAGAAAATAGCAATAGCACTTAGACTTATATACCGCTTCACAGTGCTTTACAGCCCTCTGTGAGTGGTTTACGGAGTCAGCCTATGGCCCCCAACACCACCAAGTGGACAACAACACCATCAGATAGATTTGTAACTGGCTGACAAACCGTACTCAACAAGTAGTCCTTAATGGTACTATGTCTAACGGAGGGAAGTAAGCAGTGGGGTACCCCAAGATTCCATCTTAGGCCCAGTACTCTTCAATATCTTCATAAACGATTTAGATGAGGGAATAGAAGGGGAGCTTATCAAATGTGCATATGATACTAAGCTGGCAGAAATAGCCAACGCCCTAGATGATAGGCTCAAGATCCAGATAGATAGGGCCCAGTGTTCACGTCTGTCAAAATTCAACAAAATGAAATTCAATGTAGAGAAAAGTAAAGTCTTAAACCTAGGCAAGAAAAACCAAAAATACATATATAGATTGGGTGAAACCAGGCTTAATAGCAGAAACTGAGAGGGATCCTGGAGCCTTAGTAGACAATCAAATGGGAGCCAATTGTATGCGGTGGCAGCCAAAAAAGCCAATGCAATCCTAAGTTGCATTAACAGAGGGATTCAATCAAGATCATGTGAGTTACTAATACCACTCTATAAAGCCTTAATAAGACCACACGTAGAATACTGCAACCAGTTATGGTCTCCACACTATAAAAAAGACGTTGAGACTCTAGAAAAAGTACAGAGAAGAGCAACAAAGATGATCAGGGGACTGGAGGCTAAAACAAAGAGGAACGGTTTCAGGAATTGGGCATGGCTAGTCTAGTGAAGAGAAGGACCAGGGGAGACATGATAGCAGTCTTCCAATATTTGAGGGGCTGTCACAGAGAGAAGGGGATCAACCTATTTTCCAAAGCACCTGAAGGCCAGACAAGGATTCAACCTAGAAATAAGGAGAAAT